ATACGAATCCAATAGACTAAACTGTAGTAGAGTTTGGGATAAACATGTTATTTGCAATCAATCTATCCAAGTAGAAGTGGATACATGAGCAATAGCTAAAAACAACCAAGGATACCCACGCAAGTCAAATAAGTATGTCACAGTTGGAAGCACGTTTAGGAGGGAAGAGGAGAGAAGAGTATTTATCAGATCATCACTTCGTCACACACGTGATTAGTTCCACTCGACGCCGGTAACTGAGGTGCTTCGAAAGCGACTAAAAGACCAGCAACAATTTTGCGTCTCTCCTCCAGCGCTCCCTCAACTGCATTTAGGAGATTGGTTAGCTCGTTTGCCATCTCGGATTCCAGGCTCTGGACCTTACTCCTGGAACCCAAACAGAACAGGATGATTGTTGATGGTGAAAGAGATGAAGGTCAAAGCGAATCCTGAGACTCACCGAGCTTGTCGAAGTTCATTGTCCAAACGCTGAAGATCAAGTTGGAGCCGACTGCGCTCATTTTGAAGGCTAACTTGGTGCTGACGCGCCTCTTCAAGACGTCGACTCCAGTCGACTATGGAAAGTTGTTGCAATTCCTCTGCGTAGCCAACATCCAATTCCTGAGTACGACCTGCGAAAGCAGCAGCGACTTCTACACCGAAAAAGAGTTACATGTTCTATATTTCACAATGAACTTGCCTTTGTCTTCCGGTCTTCTAAGGCTGGGATCCTGCAGCTGATCTATAAAAGGGAAATATGCGTTTGTAGTAGAAGAAACACGAAGTGATCATAACTGTTAAAAATTACTGTAAGCTGTTGCTGCGTTCTGAAAAGATGCGTGTTGCGATGAATTAGATAGTGTTCGTCGGTGATGATGCGACGTAGGGATGGGGGATCGCGTGCGCGTCGGATTTTGGGGTCGGTGGATATCGGTTCGACGAAGAACAAACTGAAACTGCTTTGGATGTTCGCCAACTCTGCTCCAGAATGAATTTCGTCAACACAGCTCGTTAGAATAAAATGCAAACAAGCCACGTCCGCAAAATAAGTGATTCAGGCACTTAAAACTGTGATAAACTCAGAACCATCAATTTGAGCACAAGTTACAGACAGCGAACATTACCTAGTAATAACATTGAGAGGACTTTCAGATGGTGAAAAAACGATTTCATTTTTTCGCCAAAATGCTACAAGACAGTAGTATCCAACAAGGCGGAGAGATTCACATAGGACGTTTACCACATCTTCAGCGGTTGTGTTTTCATCTACACCGCACACATCTCTGGGTTTCCCGTTAACAAACACCCGAAGCTCCATCACTAACTCCCTATTGGGTAGTTTGGAAAAACCGAACCCGTTACAGATTACGCAGGCAACTTAAACACAGCAAAAGTGAAATAATTAAAAGAATCTAATTAAAAAGAAGTAAGATTAGTTGTTTATAGTCATGTAGAGCCATACAGCAGGGCGTGACCATCTTAACCGTAATACCGGCATTATGAACAATTGGAAGACGTTGTCAAAGGGGTAATCACTCGGAATTTGTGTTTATAGAAGTTCAATACCTGCAGCATTATTACATCTATATTTCTATTTGGCATTGAAATCACGATTCTGCGACTTGTTATCTTACCTCAGCTAATTACAAAATGTGTGCTCTACTTTTAGTATTTGCGTTCCGCTGAACAGTGTCATGGCAATATTGGGCAAGAATTTTGACCAACACAAAGAGTCGGTTGCTTTAAATGGTAACAGTGACTAACCATATTGAACCGGCATATGTAAATTGTGAAGCTCTGAGACTCCTCATAAGACGGAAGAGTTAAAATAATCCGGCAGAATGCGTATTTTCGGTATATTGTAATACGACGGTGGTTTACCCTTTAGTATTGGGGAGGCGCCACTTTTGTACTCTGAATTAGTCTTCTTGTACCTCGCTGGGTGGGCTGGCCTTTCGGGCCATGCCAATAGCCCAAACACCTTCTCTGTGATGCGTATATATTCTGCCAGTGTTATGACTTCCTTCGTCTTCAGGGAGTCTCGAGACGCTACAATATTGTAGGGATTGGGGATTACCGGCATGGTACAGAGGCCTCGCCACGCTGCGAGGGTTCGATGGTGGAGCCCCCAGACAGTCTGTCATACCGAGAACAAAATTGCCCATTAAAGTCTCACCTGAGAGCGCGTAAATTCTCTACCCCGTTGCTTCCCAAGATTTCTTCATCAACTGTAGCGTAAACCAGGTGACTCCCTAAATTATTATACTGCTTTATTTGTTACATTTAAGCACCGCTTTGACACCTTTTTGATAGGACGAAACACCTATACCTTACCCATTGTTTACACACCCGAGTCCAACGAGTAACGCGGATGGATGCAGATATAGCACCAACAGGGTTTGACGTAACAGAGAAGATCTTACATACCACTCCTGACTGCCTTTATTTACTAAAATTGTAGCTGCGATTTCCAATATTTTTCCATCACATTTCACCCTGATCCAGCTTGAGGTATGTTCCACTCTTTCCCATGACTTTGCATTGTAGTCCTTGTACTCGCGTAGGAAGTCACGCGCCGACATCGGTCTCTTCGATTCATCCACTTTAATTGCTCCTGTCGGATCACCTTTCCCGTAAAATTCAAAGAAGCGCCTCTAATTCGCCTCTAAAGCATAACAATATTGTCGTTTGCATTATAAACATCATTGGCATTTTGGATATTCATGCTCAGATGTACAGAATATGATAGGAAATTGAGTAGTCACGTAATTTGATAATATAAAATCAAGGTTTTGTGATAATCTTAAAAGTTACCTATTGATTGGTTTAACGCCGCAAATGAATAAGACTAGTTTTAATTGATGAATCATGTAATTTACTCTGCCATATAAACAGACTTAAAGGACTAATCACTTTAAGTCAGGCAGATAAACAAAGTGTAAAATGTGGGGGATCATTAATCGTGAGGGAATCTTTAGGGTTTAAATTATTAATAGGCGCCATAATAAAACAAGTTTTGACTTACGAGTGAGATCCTCTAGAGGTGTGCCTTGACCTCCTGCTTCTGGTGGCAGCACAGCCCTCAGGTAGGGTTCAGCTTCAAAGACTTTCTCAACATCCGAACCTCACAACATAATCTATCGGTTTTATTCATGTAAAATACGCATTATAGCCTTTAGACGGACTATTCGTGGAATTCCAAGTATAATACAGAGAGAGGTTAAGTTACTTACTCGGTTTTTCATCTTGTCCTTGGTGTAGAACATCATGACACTCAGCATGGTGTCCAAGATTATGCCTCCATTGTAGGTAATTACGCGACGAAGTCTCGCAGGCATTGCTTCCTGTAGTCAAGAAGACATCATTTTGTTATTTGATTTTGTTACATCAACGATAGAAATTAACTGTGCTAGAGATAAGACAAACAGGATCCAACAAGCCTAATAAAAAAA